GTTACTGGTACAAGATCTGGGTTGTCTCAGAAGTTGAATCGTCACAGTGGTATGGGAGGGAGAAGCTCGAAGAAGATGATGACATGGCAAAGTGGGTAACACTTGGCGAGAAGAAGGAGAAGATGTATGGACACGCCAACATTTCTGGGGAGGAAGCCTCTTCTAGAGAAAAGAGGAATTATTTTTTGGAAGCTGAAAAGTCAAGTATGAAAAGCCGAGCAACAACCTTTATGAAAAAGTTTTCAAATAAATTTAAATTTAAAATAAAAGAAACACTGTTGCTGGTCCGTCCTATGCAGAACTGGTCAAATGGGGAACTCAGTCAGACCAGGGGAGGGGCCGATTCAGAGCTGGTTTTGAACACCATATGACCCGCTCTGACCTGACCGGACTAATACTGGGTCGGTCTGGGTCGAACCGCAAGGAGACCCATGGTGCTAATGTTGGCTCATGCGACTCTTTAAGTGGTTACGTGAGTCGGGTATCAGAGGAGTTGGTAGACCTTAGCAAGGGTCTGTCTTCTTCTCCACAGGCGCTGAAACCAGATGCAAGTGTACAGTTCGAAGGCGGACAGAACTCATCGAGGCAGAACATGCGATGGCTTCCAGTTGCTAAAGCTAGAGAAGGCGACCAAGAGAAGAGGAGAGAAGACAAACCAAATCCAAGATACACCAGGAATAGTAGAGATGAATTTGAAGGAGAAGATGACGGCTGGGTAAGCTGCGATCTATCTGAGAATGACATAGGGGATGGATTGAGAAGCAGGAAGCCAGACTGATGACCGTAAAGAACAGCTGGAAGACACATTTAGCACAGATATTCTTTTCGCTGAGAATGCAAAAGATGCTACTGAAGTGCTGGAACCATCTACAGACAGTGGGATGATTAACGAAGTTGAGTGCTACCTGGATGCAAGGGGGGAAAATCGAACCTTAGGCGAGAAGGATTCAAGCCAGAATATGAACGAGGGGCAAGGAACTAGCGGGAAGAAAGTGGTTAATCACCAGATCTCAAACATGGATGCATCAGGTGGGGATGAACGACAGAGCCTTGGAAGTACTAACAAGGGTGAATTAAGTCTAGGTTGTGGCCTGCAGTCATTCTCTGTTGTTGACTCGTCAAACCCAACTGATTGTTGACTGTCCACTCCTTCCAGACCCAGGTATGGCTGTGTTTTTGGATTTGGTTACTAACGTCCGCTCTGCTCATGATGTTTGTCTCCCAGATTCCAGTCCTGCTTCCTTGCCGAATACCCTTGGATTAGAAGCTGATAGAGGTGGGGTTGGTGGGGAGATACAGGAGGGGGGTGAGAGGGAGCTGAGGGTGTGGAACTTAATAATAAAAGAGCTGGACAATTTGACTAGGGTGGAAATGGAGAAGGAAGAGGTGATAGAGAGGAAGAACAGTGAATCCAAAATAGTTGAAGGAAGGGTGGAGCAGGAGAAGGAAAGCAAGAGGCAAAGAGAGGAGGGAAATAAACAAACTAAAAAGGGAGATGAAGAAGAGGACTCTCTAGCTGAATTTGTTGAAAAGCTAGGGTGCAAGGTGAAAAATCTGAATGAGCTGAAAAGGTATTTGGAGATTAAAAATGAAGCTGGGAAAAGGAGGAAAAGAAGGTCAAGTGAAGTTGAGAGGCTGAAATTGGATGTGGAGGGGGATAAAGAATTTAGTGAGAGGAAGGGTAGGGGAAGAAAAGGAGGTTCTTAGGAAAGAAGGTTTAGGAGAGGGGCAGACTATATTGGAGTAATGAAGATTGTAAGTTGGAATGTGAGAGGCTTGGGGAATGCAAGAAAGAGAGCTTTAATAAAGGAGGTCCTAAGGAAAGAAAACCCAGATATTTTTTTAATCCAGGAATCTAAACTCATGACTTTTAATAAAAGGTGGGCTAGAAGTGTGTGGAGAGCAAATGGACTGAGTTGGGTAATGAGTCCATCTTGGGGTTCATCTGGAGGAATAGTCACATTATGGAAGGATGAAGTGTTGGAGGGAGTGGAAGAATTAATGGGAAGATTCTCAGTCTCTGTTAAATTCAATCAAGTGACAGATGGGTTTGAATGGGTCTTAACTAATGTCTATGGCCCTACTGGCTACAATCAAAGGAATGATTTGTGGGAAGAGTTGGAAGACATTAGAGGTCTGTGGGATGGGCCTTGGTGTTTAGGAGGGGATTTCAAAGTGATCAGGTTCAGTGATGAGTGCAATAAGGTAAGACAAAGTGATCAGGTTCAGTATGAAGAAGTTTAACGAGTTTATCAATGCCTTTGAACTCAAGGAACTGAATCTCTAACATAATACTTTCACCTGGTTTAATCTCCAAGTTGATCCAATTTGCTCCAAACTAGACAGATTCTTATTTACCACAGATTGGGAAGAGCACTAGGGAGATTTGGTGTCAAGGGCCTTGCCGAGAGTTACCTCCGATCATTGGCCAATTATGCTAAGCAAGGCAGATTTTGGAAACAGTGGTCCTTCCCCCTTTAGATTTGAGAATATGTGGCTTCTGCACCCAGATTTTAAAGAGAAAGTGAAGCAGTGGTGGAATGAAATTAACCCGAGGGCAAACTGGGTAGGAATGAAGTTCCACTGGAAACTAAAAGAGCTGAAAGTCAAAATAAAGGAGTGGAATACTTTTCACTTTGGGAGGATAGAAGAAAGGAAGCAATGGTTGATAAGCCAGATTGAGGAATTAGATGCAAAGGAAGAACTGGGATGTTTTGGGGAAAAAGACAAAGAGGTGAGGTGGGAGTTGAGGAAAAATCTGGAGGACACAATTTTTAAAGAAGAAATGAGTTGGAGGCAAAAATACAGACACAAATGGGTAAAAGAGGGAGATAGGAATACAAAATTCTTCCATGCTATATGACAAAAGAAAGAAAAACTCCATTTCTAAGTTGGTGGTTGATGGTACAATTTTAACCCAACAGAATGAGATTGTTGGGGCCTTTGTGGAATACTTCAAATCTATATTCAGAAGGCCTCTAAATGAGAGATTAAGGATCGATGGGTTGGATTGGCCCAGGCTCCCCCGATGATTTGATTGAGTGGTTGGAAAGAGTGTTTGATCGGGAAGAAATAAGGGAGGCCATCTTCTCTATGGATATATCTAAAGCCACGGGCCCTGACGGTTTCACGATTGCTTTTTATCAAGACTGCTGGGAGATAATTAAGGCTGATATCCAAAGTGTTTTCTTGGAATTCTTTGAAAGACGGGTGATAAATCGAGGCCTGAACTCGACCTTTATTGCCTTAATTCCAAAAAAGGAGGGAGCTTGCCACCTTATAGAGTTTAGACCCATCAGTTTGGTAAATAGCCTCTATAAGATCATTGCTAAGGTGCTATCCTGAAGAATTAGAGAGGTGCTTCCCACAATCATATCCCCTAATCAAGGTGCTTTTGTAAAGAATAGGCAAATTGTAGACCAAATCTTAATAGCAAATGAGAGTGTAGAGGATTTTAAAAGAAGAGGGAAGAAAGAGTTGGTATGCAAATTGGATTTGGAAAAGACTTATGATTTGGTTGATTGATCCTTATTGCAAGAAGTACTAGAGTCTATTGGTTTTGGGCAGAGGTGGTGCAAGTGGATAAAAGGGTGTATGAGAACGTGTCACTATTCTATACTGGTGAATGGCAGGGTGACAAATCATTTTCCAGCTACTAGGGGTATTAGGCAAGGGGACCCCCTCTCCCCCTTCCTGTTTACCTTGATTGCTGAAGTGTTAGGGAGGCTTATCGAGAAAGCAGATGCTTGAGGATTGGTAAATGGTTGGAGAGTTGGGAGGGATAGGGTTTCAGTCACTCATTTACAATTTGTAGATGACACAATTCTGTTTTGTGGTGGGGAGGAGATTAGGTGGGTTAGTAATTTAAAGAAGGTGTTTGAAAAAAGTGATTAACCTCAAAGTAAACTTTGATAAGAGTTGTGTGATTGGCATTAATATGAGTGTCAGAGAGGTGGAAGAAAGGGCCCAAGTTTTGGGTTGTGAGATTGCTCAATGGCCATTGAAATATTTGGGGCTTTCACTAGGGGATAACCCTACCAAGAGGAGCTTTTGGAGCCCGGTGATTGATAGATTCACAAAAAGGCTAGCCTCTTGGAAGAAAAACTACCTATCTTTGGGTGGTAGGATAACTCTGATAAAGTCAACCTTGGCAAACCTTCCGGCTTACTTTCTGTCTGTGTTTAGAATTTCTGAGGGAGTATGTAGAATTTTGGAGAAATTAATGAGGGATTTCTTATGGGAACCAGGAGAGGAGAAAAGGGACCATAGAGTTAGGTGGGACTTGGTTACAAAAGCCAAAAGTGATGGTGGTTTGGGTGTGGGTAACTTAAAGAAGAAGAATGAAGCTCTTTTGGGGAAATGGTTATGGAGATTGAATAAAGAAAGGGAGAATTTGTGGGCTAAAATAATCCTAATATTCATGGGCAAGAGGTAGATGACTGGGACACGGGGATCTCATCTAGGGCTACAAGGGCGTCTCCTTGGAAGTCTATTCATGCCATCCTTCCTTATTTTCTTCCTTTCATCAGGTATGACCTTTGTTCTGGTAGTTTCTGGGGACATATTTGGGTGGGAGACATTCCTTTGGAAGAGCAGTTTCCCTCTTTGTTTTCCCTCTCAAGGTTTAAAAATGAGCCTGTAGCTACCTTTCTTACTTTGCCTGATTCTGCAGTCCCATAAAAAAACCCCTGCCTGTTTACAAAAGGATTATCATATTACAAAAAAGGATTCCAAACTTTTCCTTTGGAAGTTTTATGAAACACCATCCATGAGTGAAGTTTTCCTACTATCTTCTGCACCACAGGCTTTGCTGTAATTGCTTTTATACCCTCTAAGATTGTAAATTTTCTTTGCATGTAGAAGTAGGGGTGTGCTCCTTGCCATTTTCTACTATGTTCCTTGGAAGCTCTAGTTTATCATGAACTGTATTGATTGTGTTGATCTGTTTACATCCATCTTCCAACTTGAACCTTTTGCTTATATAAAATCACTCTCTTCAGGATTTATCTGGTCGACCTCATTTGAGTTACGATTTACAAATACCCACTGAAAGAGTTGGAACATATGATACCCAGGTACTTGTCTTCATCTTGTGTTTACCTGCACATGAACACTTTGCTTCTGTTTACTTGACCACTTTCGATGCAGGTGGAGTGTATAAATTGGTATATGATGCTTAGTAAAAGATGAGATTGTTTCTTTAACAGTTTGCAGTCTATCAAGTTTATTGTCCCACCACTGTCTTTATATTACCTTCTAGTGTTCAAATTTTCCTGTCCTGCCATATTTGTTTTGATGTCTTAGCTTTAAAGACATCCACTTGTTTTTCTTTTTTCTATGTTGCCTAATTGTTTTGATATCTAAGAAGGAATGATGTTTGAAAATTTTTCTATTTTTGCCTGTCTACAAATAAAGTAACTATTCTGTTTGGAGTTGGACATGTTGTACATATTGCATCTGTTAAATTATGGCTTCTTTCTTGTTATATTGATCATTATCATTGCTTTCTTGTCTATCTTACATTCTGTGTGAATTATTTTTAGTTTGGGCAACTTTTTGTTTGGGGTTGAGAGTCCCCTTGTACTTTCTTTTAGAAGGTAGTTGATGCAGTGTTTTAAAAGGCATGGGAGGTATACACGCCTCTAGGCAAGGCTGGAGGCGCCCCCAAAACGCCCTGAAGCGTGTGCCAGAGGCATTGACACCTCTGAGGTGTATACTTCATACATTTTTTTTTCATGAGGTGTGCTAGAGGCGTATGCCTCATGTGCCTCAAGCAGACCTCATATAGAAAGACAATAAAAAAAGAAAAAAGAAAGAAAAAAGAAGAAAAAGGAAAGGACAGGAAAGGAAAAGGAAGGGAAGGGAAGAAAAGATAAGGGGAAAGAAAAATGAGATCCTCCTTCCTCTTCTTCCTCCTCATCCCCCTCCTCTTAAGGAGGCTTACGCCTCGTATGTTCTGAACTACGCATCATGCCTCTAGGTACTGGAATGCCTTGCGTCATGCCTCTGTGTTGTAAAATATCGAATTGATGTGTTAAATTATATGGCGAAAGGAGGGTTGCACATGGGGAGACATCCAAAGATGCACAAGATATGAGCAACAGCTCTTCCCTTGCAAAATGGAGGAAAACACTAGCTGTGAAAAGAGCTAAAAGGGCCATTATACAGTGTTGGTCCTGCCTATTCAGGGTCTTGGGAAGTGTAGACTGGCTACAGCCCTAACCTTTGGCAGTTTTTGTGCAAAATTGCCGCTCTCAGACTTAAACCCATGCTCACCTGTTATCCTGAGATTTATCATTGCACCAAGAAATGGCCAAACAAAGAGTTGTTACTTAAAAAAATGGATTTTGTGGTTAGTGTGGTTTGTCTCTTTATGCATAATCCCAGAATGTCTTATATTGCAAGCAATGAGTAGAATTTTTGTGTTACTTCAAGGATTGCTTTGGTAAGGGGATATTATATTTTAATCATGATCATCTTGAGGTGGAAGCTTACACAGATTTCAATGGGGCTGGTTCAATTGATGATAGGAGGTCTACTTCAGGCTATTGTACTTCTTTTGGAGGAAATTTATTCTCCTGGAGAAGTAAAAAACAGTCTATTGTGGTCTGGTCTAGTGCAGAAGCTGAATATAAAGCTATGACTTATAGAATGTTAGAGTTACTATGGTTGAAAAGCTTATTGGCAGAGATTGGAGCACAGTTTGATACACCTCTGAAGTTGTACTTTGACAACTAGGCAACTAAAGATATTGCTTATAATCTAGTTTGGCATGATTGCACAAAACATATTAGGTGGATAAACATTTTATCAGAGGAAAAATTGCTAGTGGAAAGATATGCTTACCATTTATTGAAATCTAGAGACCAGTTGGCTGATTGTCTCACCAAAGGTGTACCTTGACCTAAAATAGAAGACAATGTTGGCAATCTGGGCATGGTTGGCATCTATGCTTGGCTTAAGAGGGAGTGTTGAGCTGATTGTATGTCATTACATTCATCTCATGGTTGGGGCACCTAATGAGGGGTATACTTGTAATTATAACTCTCTTATATAAATACTAATCATTGGGAGTGTGAGAACCAAGACTCATTTTCACCCTATTTTGAAAATTTTCTTCTCTTCTTCCCTCTTCCTTTCTTCTTCGTCTTCTCTTCTCTCTCTCTCTCTCACATCTAGCTAGACAATTATTTTGAGTTACTGTACAACTGATTTCATCCTTAGGGGCTGGTAGGTGGTGGTGAGCCTTGATCATTATGCACACCACATTATCCAATATTGATTTTCACTCAAAAGGGGAAGGATTAGGATTAACTTGGTGGGTTGTGCCTTGGGTAACCATGGATCAATGGTGTAGGCAGGAGGTTTTTGGGATCATGATGGGAAAACTCTTAGGAGCTTCTCCCGGTTGATTGGAGAAGGCAATTCGTTAAGACTAAAATTTTTTACACTATTATAAGGTCTCAAGTTGACTTTTTCAGATTGGAGTGTTTTGATGGTTTGAAGCCTTATGTTCTTATGTTGATCATATGCATACTGCATCATAGAATCTGATGCTCTTATGTTGATCTTTCTTGTTTTTGTTTTGTTTTTTTTTTTTTCGTTTTTACTTAAGCCTTTGGTTTTACTAATCTCTATGGTTTTGAAAATTTTGCTTTATGCAGCTAGTGGAACATTTTTTTCAATCATTGGTGAATACATCTGGTATGACACTTCACATCCGACAGGTAAACTCAATTCTTGTAATAAAGGGAAATATAACTATTGATAAACAAAATAATGAAGGGAAATAATGAAGTACATATTAGATCTTCTTTTATACTTTGGAAAATGAGAACCCATATAATATATCCAAGGTTCAAAGTATCAATATGAATATGATGCACCCCGTATTGGGCGTATTGTATTGTATCTTTAGGTGCCCGATACACCTGTTTACAGGTGTTTTCAGGAACCCTTTTTTTTATTAAATAATATATATAAGCAGTCTTAAAACTGAAATTTGAAAAAAACTAAAAAAATAAAAGGCATGTGGTTCAAAGTGCTGATACATAGAGGTGTATCGATACTTTGACCCATGAATATATCAACGAAAGAATTGTATGCTCTTTTAACTCCATACTAAGTTAATGTGTTAATCTGAAAATGAATCCTGTCTCCTAGTTTCATCTTGGCACGTTGACAACTATGTTTAGCACCCAGCCTTGTCTTTGATCCTTTAGGTTTATGCAAGAGCCTGGTTATGTGTACCTACACCCTAATATCCTTGTTTTTTGGTTTATAAAGCTGTGTTGGTGTTTATTGTTGTCATCCTTTTTGCTTGTTGCATGCATTTATGTCGGGAAGCATGAAAAATAATGTTCGATTTAATGGTTAAGAGTTAAGACGAGTGAATAGAAGAGAAATGAAAAGAAAAAAGTTTGAGTGAATCACAATGGATTTGGTGTTGTCCACTTTTTATTTATATTAGGATATCTAATGATAGATGATTTTACAACTCCACCTACATGAGCTTGTCTTATGCCACCAGTCCCAAGCTTTGACAAAGGAGAAGGGTTGTGTTAGGTTGGCAGCCGGTATTAAAACTTTTTCCAAATTCTTATAGTCATGGATCCTGAATTCTCTTTTCATGCTCATGTTAGGGTGTTCCTTGAAAGCAACACATTACACCTTAAGCCAAGTGGTGAGAAATGGACAAGGGCATGGTAGGGCGTTCCTTGGAAGTGATGAATTACAGCTACACTTGGTTGTGGTGAGAAATGATTATGGTATAGTGGAGAAGTAAATGATAGAAATTGTATTAAAATAATTGGAGATAGAACAATGTTAATTAGACTTATTTTAGGTGAGGAAATCATTAACATAATTAGTGTTTATGTACCTCAAATGGGTTTAGAAGAAAACATTAAAAGACAATTTGGGATAACTTAGAAGGATATAATTAGTCCAAGAAATGAAGTGTAGGATATGATTAATCCAAGACATTCTAATTAAAGAGAAGATTTTTATAGGAGGGGATCTAAATTGGCATGTGGGGAAATGAAGTGTAGGATATGATATGGTGCATATGAGGGATCTAGTTTTGGGTTGAGAGGAATGAAATGAGGGAGATAACTCTAGAATTTGCAATAGGTTATGATGTGGCAATAGTAAACACATTTTGAAAAGAAGGATGGACATTTAATAACATTTAAAAGTTGATCAAGTACAAGTAAAATAGATTTTTATTCTTATTAGGTGAACAAAATGGATGATGCATAAGGATTGCAAAGTTATTCCAAAGAAAAAGTTAACCACAACCTAGATTAGTGGTGGTAGATGTGTGCATTGGAAAACGGAAAATAGGTGTCCAAGAATTAGGTGGGCAAACCTAAAAGGAGAAAAAGCTAGCAGAATTTAGTGACAAATTTAAACATGCAATTAGGGAAGTGGTAAAGATTGCAAAAGAGGTTGAGGCTGAAAAGACTAATGATGTATGGCTTGAAATGGTTAACTGTTTAAGAAAGTAGCGAAGGAACAGAGTTGGGATTGAAAATTTGAAGCTGGTTGTTAACCTTTTTGAGAGGATGCCTAACTTGAGAATTGAGAGTGGGGGTCGGCCTTTAAAATATTTAGGGTTACCTCTAGGCAATAACCCTAGATCAATTAGTTTTTGAACTCCAGTGGTGGAATGAATTGAGAAGAATTAGCGAGGTGGAAAAGGAATTATATCTCTTTGGGTGGGAGACTTACTTTGATTAATTCCACTTTTGCAAACTTCCTAGTCTACTTCATGTAATTTTTTAGGATGCCTCAGGTTGTTGTGAAAAGAATTGAAAAACTGATGAGGAACCTTTTGTGGGAACCAAGAGAAGGGAAGAAAGATCATTTGGTGAGATGGGAGAAGGTGACCAAGAAGAAGGAGAAGGGGGTTTGGGAATTGACATTGTGAGTACGAAAAACTTGGTTCTCTTAAACAAGTGGCTTTGGCACTTTCCTGAGGAAAATGAGAAACTGTGGCATAAAGTTGTAGCTAGTATTCATGGGCTGTTAAGAAATGGATGGGATGCTGGTTGTCTGCACAGAATTACCCCTACTGCACCTTGGAAAAGCTATACATGATATCCTTCTCCTTTTCCTTAATCATGTGAAGTATGATTTGGCATCGACAATGTTTTAAAAGCACAAGGGCCAATTTGCGCCTAAGGCGCAAGGCGAGGCGTGCGCCTTTTTAAGCAAGGCGCAAAATTACAAAAAAAAAGCTAAAAAATAAAAAAAGTCAAAAAATTAAAAAAAATGCAAACAATTCAAAAGAATAATAAACATAATGTTAATAAAAAATATAGACCTAAAATTTAAAATAAATGTTTTAAAATCTAAAATTAAAATACATAAACATAACATGTAAAGCGTATTCAAATGAAAATTTAAAAATAAAAGCAAATATATAAAGCATTTTCAAGCATGTAAAACCCACAATCTCTTTTTTTCCTTAATTGCATTGCTTCAAGTATCTACTGTGATATAAAACATATTGCATTCTTGATTCTATGAGTCGCCTTTGTACCACGCCCCTCGAGGCAAGCCCAAACAAGTCTATGTTAGGGTCTGAAATTCTTATTTCTTACATAAGAAATAATGATTTTATAACTTTCATTGCCTTTTAAGAAGATATTTTATTGCAATGAATGAATGAACAACATTAGCAAATAGGGGGTTCTCGGAGCTTCGGTGAGCGAAAAATTTTAAAAAGGCGCGCACCTAGGTCGAGGTGCAAGGCGCATTAGGCGCACCAGGCGTGCGCCTTTTGAAAAGGGTGCGCCTAGGACCTGGGCGAGGCGCATACCCTAAAATGCGCCTTGCCTATGCGCCTAGGCATGTCTTAGGCACGCCTTTTAAATCACTGGGCATCGAGACATAAGATAAGATTTTGGGAACATTTGGAGTTTAGGCTAGGGTCAGGGAATAAAGAAGGGGAGGGAGGTTGAGTTGGATAGAGTTGTTTTGCTTTGTCTCAACAAGTTAGAAGGAGGAGAGGGATAAAGTGGAGATTAAGAGTTTGGTTGATAGGGAGGTTAAATTTGGCAAGAGCTTAGGTTTATTCTTCTAGGGAGGTGACGAGTTTGCTAGAAGAGCTTTTGAAGTATTTGAAAAGAGCAAAAGGGAAGAGAGAATGAAGAAGTTGGTAAGGGAAGGAGGAAAGGTCTGGGATGAGGATGGTGATAGGTTTGACGAGACATTTGAAGCTGAAGACTAGATGCTTTTGCAGGGGGGATCTTTGTTTTCATTGTGTTTGATTGTATCTTTGTTGTCCTTTTGTAGCTGGTTTTGGTTGTTAACTTAGCAACAGTGATTTGAAAGGCACACCTAAGGCACGCCTAGGCGCACAGGCGAGGCGCCTCACCCAAGTCCTAGGCACAACCCTTTCAAAATGTGCATGCTTGGTGCGCCTAGTGCGCTTTGCGCCTCAGCTCAGGCGTGCTCCTTTTGAAAATTTGATGCATTTTCTTTTTTTTTTTTGAGTCTAGCGGCTAGGCCGGGGGCTCCACCCCCGGACCACCGTGCCACGCCCCTTGAGGCCAGCCCAAACAAGTCCATGTTAGGGTCTTAAATTCTTAGTTTTCACACAAAAAATAATGATTTTATAGCTTTAATTGCTTTTTAAGAAGATATTTTATTAAGACGAATGAATGGACATCATTACCAAATAGGGGGTTCTTGAAGCTCTGGTGAAATCATTATTTTTTGTGTGAAAATTAACAATTTAAGACCCTAACATGGACTTGTTTGGGCTTGCCTCGAGGGGCGTGGCACATAGGCGGCTCGTAGAATTAGGAATCTAACATGTCACATTAGCTACTTGAAGTAATGTAATTGAGAAAAAAGAGATTGTGGGTTTTATATTGTAGAAAATGTTTTAAATGTTTGGTTTCATTTTTAAATTCTCATTTGAATATGCTTTACATATTATGTTTATGTATTTTAATTTTAGATAATAGGTTTTTTAATACATTTAAAATTCAAGTTTATATTTTTATTAATATTATGTTTTATAATTTTTTGCTTTTTTTTTGCATTTTTTTTGCATTTTTTTTGAATTTTTTGACATTTTTTATTTATTTTCAGCTTATTTTTTTTAAAATTTTTGTGCCTTGCTTAAAAAGGCGCACGCCTCACCTTGCACCTTGTGCCTTAGGCGCAAATTGACCCCTGCGCCTTTTTTGTGCCTTGCGCTTTTAAAACATTGCTTAGCAGCCATGTCTGGTTGTAATCACTTTTTCTTTTTCTATCAATAAAAGTTTATTTTTACTCATTTGACCTGGCCACAATAGTCTGCTTCTTACTCTAGGTCACTAGGTTACCTCCAACAAAGGTATAATAATCTATAGTGGATCACCTATCATCCACAAATATGGCCAATTCAACCTCTGTATAAGCCACTTTCACCTGACAAAGAGAATACCTCTCTTAGGATGTTTCTTCAAGTATCTATGTATCTATTCAGCTGCAACAATATATGTAGTTCTGGGACCATGCAATACCTAACATCACGAAGCATCTTCTCACTACTCCAAAGTCTACAAATAGGCCCGATTCAGGTATTGTATGGTTCGATTCTCAATTTTCTTGTGTCTTGGAGAAGATTTAGAATGTACTTTCTTTAGGAAATGAAGATACCTTTGCTAGACTTGGCAACATTAATCCTTAGAAAGTATTTTAGAGGACCTAGATCTTTGATGTCGAATTAAGATCTCAAGAATTCCATCAACACTCATATTTTAGACAATTAGTTTGTGGTAATAACGATGCCATCAACATATACAATCAAATTTTCCACTTGGTCTCAATAACAAAGTATGGTTGACTTGTTGTACAACCTTATTGAACTTATTGAACTAAGTCATGGGTGACTACTTCCGCCCATACACAGATTTTTTTAGGTGGTAACACTTGTTTTACTGCTCCTGTATGAAAACTAGGAAGCTGGGCCATATACACCTCTTTTTTGAGATCTCCATTCAAGAAGGCATTCTTTATGTAAAGCTAGATTAGGTTCCATTCAAGAAGGCATTCCATATACACTTTTGTTTTACTTCACATGGTTTCTGCCTTTCAGATGAGTTACACCCCACAAAATGAGTCTTGCCAGGGTTGGCTTCTAAGCACTACTTATATGCATAGATAATTTCCATCTTTAAGCATTGCATCATTTGGTTCAGTCCTAGTTTTCGTACAAGTGTTAAAAAATTTCCTTTATTCCCAAACAAACTTTGAAAGAATTCACCTTTCCTTGGTGCAGCTTGCTGGAAAAAATTCTCACCATATTATTGAGGCAACATTTAAGGCTTTTGCAAGAGCTCTTCGACAAGCAACAGAGTATGATCCACACCGTCATGGGACTATTCCAAGGTCTGTATGATGGGTCTTTGTTTGAATTTTCATTAATTTCATTTGCATCTTAATCAAAATTTGGCAATTCTTTTGTATATCAGGTTTAGTATTTAAAGGCTTACAAGGATATGCACTTCTATTTTTACCTTCTTTATTTTTAATTTTTTATATCAGCAATTATAATGGATGTTACTCCTAAATTCAATCATGTTGTTATTCCACGATGGTGAATGGGAGTGAAAAGGATTTATTTCCAGTGTGAAGAGGCACTAGGCAGGGGGATCCATTATCCCCATTTTTATTCACCATCATGGTAGTTGTCTTCAGCAGATTAGTAATGAGGGCAGATAGCTTAGATCTTATAGAAGGGTGAAGGGTTGGTTGGTAGGGATTAAATAGTCTACCCTCACTTGCTATTTTCTGATGACATAATCTTTTTCTGCCTAGATAAGGGTGAAGGTGGTCTGGTATACCTTCATCTGTTGGTGAAATGTCATAATGAGATATATTGGGAGAACTGCCTAATAGGGTAAATCTCTAGGGCAATATCATAATGAGATATATTGGGTTGCTTGATGGAGCAATGGTCAATTAGATATTTAAGTCTGCTGTTGGAAAGGAATCATAAGTCCTCTAATTTTTGGAACCCTATCTTGGATAGATAGGGTCGCAATTGTTTGATGTAGGCCTAAAAAGAGAATCTTTTCCATCCCCTTGGAAATCTATTGTTTCTATACTGCCTGCTTGAAGGTTTAGGTTTGCCTGCTTGAAGGTTTAGGTTTGCCTGCTCGAAGCTCACGAGTCATGCTAAAGTATGGTGGACCTTTAGCAATGATTAGAAAACAGAGGCAGGGGTGAGCATTCGGTTTATTCGGTTAAAAAACCAAACCGAATAAACTGAAATTTTAAAAACCGAACTGAAACCGAAATTTTCGGTTCGGTTTTCGGTTATTTCAGTTAAAACCGAATTTTAAAAATATATATCTATTATATATATTATATATTATAAAATATATTGTGAAATCAAATTTCAGTATATTATATATTAATATGTAAATATATAATATATTATATATTATAAATTACATATAATAATAAAAAGTTCGGTTAGCCGAAATTCTAATTCTAAAAACCGAAACCGAAAACCGAATTAGCCAAAACCAAATTAACTGAACCGATTTAACCAAAAACCGAAAAAATCAAAACCGAAATTTTTGGTTCGGTTTTTCAGTTTTAACCGAATAGTGCTCACCCCTAAACAGAGGTGAATATCCTATTACTAATGGGCAGAGATGAAGAGGTGTTTGCTAGAAAAGTACGTTCCATAATACTTTTAGGATGATCTATATATGGAATTGACTAATCTCAAGCAAGGTATGCTATCTATAGTCAATATATGCATAAGTGTGATGAATTATATATTAGATGTGACATTACAAAAAGTGTGAGGGACAAATTAGCTTGTTTCATGAATTGGATAGGGGATGATATCAAGAAAGAATTATCTGCAGTTCAAATTTATGACTTAGACCATGCTTTTGAATTGGCTCTCAAGATAGAGAAGAATCAGCAGGTTACAACAAAGAATTTGAAGCCAATGAGAAGGTACGAAGTTGAAGATAGAGAAGGTGATTCCTTGCATGTTGATGCCTATCCTAGAGCTGAAGTTGTAAATGAAGCTAAAGAATAGAATTTCAACCTATCAAAGTTGTAGTATTGAAGATCAAGAGGATGTAGGCTAAGAAAGGATGGGAATTGTTGATGGAGCTTCCAACACCCTCGACCCATGATCAGCTTGAGGTTAATGCTCAGGAAGAGATAGAGTGGAGCAAGTTGAAGAAATTTAGGTGCAATATAGAAATGTCAAATGTGTTGGTTGTTGTAGATCTTAGTAAGGATGTAAGTCATGACTTTACCTTACAAGTTCAATTGGAACCAATTCAAAAATTACAAGCTGACATTGCAGCAGTTCCACCAACATCAATAATGGAAGAAGTCCAAGAGTTTGCTGAAGAATCAAGGGTATTAGATGCATAGAGGTGTGGTGGTTCCTAAACTAGAGATTGAAGGAAAAGTTTCGAATGCTGCAGTTGAGATTTTGGATATTAAAGTTCATAGTGATAAGGGAAGATTCACCACAGTTTAAACAAAAAGTTCATGCAAGGCAGTGTTTCACTGTTTCAGATATACATTGCTTTCAAATCAAGATCCATTGAGGGACTCTACAATCCTAGTGTGTTGAAGTAGCTATTGGGAACTCTTACTCCTTTTGTCATTGAGGTAGATCAACTTTATTTTTCGATCAATAACAAAAGAATTTATAAAAGATTAAAAATATAGATGCAAGAGGATATACACACAGACATTGAGAGACAAACAAGCTTGTCTCTCCCTCTCCACCCCTTGCTTGGCTAAACCATCTTTCATAGAGTTAGCGGACTACTTAACCCATTGGACCTTTACTTCCATATCTTTTGTTGACCATTTGAATTTCTTTTTTAGAGAGTTGAATATCCACATCCTCTGATCATTGCACCCCAACCAGCTCACCACGAAAGCTAAACTACTGTAGTTGAAGTAGCAGAAATGAGAAGAAGAAGAGATGCTGGAATGTCGAACTAGCCTTACCCAGTCGACAGTACTATTATTTATATTAAGGTACAATACAATGTTACATGAAATGACTGGGATGCCCCTGATTAGTGATGGGACACCCAGACAACTTAAAAACACTAAACAGACTTAGGCCCATTAACACAGGCCCAGTACATAACAACTTAAACTCAAATACAGGCTAATAAGAACTCTTATCAGCCGAACCATCCCTACATACAAAACCTTCAACCTAACAACCACCAGTTTGGAATCTCCTTCAATAACTAATTTTCTGATGTTTAACATACTTGCTCTTTGTAAATTATCAAAAAAAAAAAAACATACTTGCTCTTTGTATTCCTTCCATCACAGTCAGCACCTCTGCTCTAAGGGGGTCTCCTTCCCCAACTGGTCTTGAATAAAGTGCCATAACATTACCTTTGTCATCTCTGAACACACCTCCCATGCCTGAAGGCCCTGGATTACCCATACAACTTCCATCAAAGTTGAGTTTCATGAATCCCTTATCCGGTGGGCACCATATTGGATTAATTACTGATATACGAGGTGGTGATTCAGCCACTGCCTTCCAGATCCTAAGAAGATCTTCCATAGGTACATTAAAAAATTTATCCATGGATTTTAACCAATGTGCCGTTCTGAACAAGACAGTTTCAATTATAGCCTCCTTGGAGCTTTCCTTGTCCTGAAACAATCTTGCATTCCTTTCTTCCCATACAGACCAAACAACCGCCGCCCTTACACATTTCCACATGATCCTACCCCTTGTGTTTGGTATTCAAAGAATGATGATGCAAATAGGCTTGAATGTTATTTGGGGCTTTAATGTTATTTGGAGGAGTCCACCTACACCCAAATAAAGAGAGAAACCATTCCCAAATACAAGTAGTAAAAGAACAAGAAATTAGCAAGTGATAACAGTTCTCACCATTGGGCCTAAGACAAAAAACATCTGGGGGGGGGATAAACACCACTGTGGTCTCTTCTTTTGAAGTAAATCACAGGTATTGATCTTTCCATGAATGACTTCCCAACAAAAAGCACTAAACTTGGGTGGAATAGGCTTTACACCAAACCTCCTTAATTGGGAGAGGTTGTGAAGAAGACAAATCGGAATTAGACAAGGCTTGGAAAAATGAAGCACAAGTAAAGGAACCGGAGGGGGAACAAGTCTAAATTCAGCCGTCAGATTTGGAAGGATCCAGGAAAACATCTTCTAATAGTTGTTACAGGTTAGAGACATGAGGAGTTTCTGAATCCCTTAACCCCTACGGAAACCCAGATCCCAACCCAACCAATGCCATTAGCAGAGCTAAAAGGAACAAGGAAATTAGAAACTGACTTGTCTTTGAAGCGTCTAAGAGCAAAAAGAGACAGGAATTGATCTTTTAAAGGGGAGGAACCCAGCCATGCATGTTCCCAGAATTTAATTTGGTCTCCACTACATAGATCATACTTAACCAAAGGAAGGAAGGAAGGTAAGATACCACTGATGGCCTTCAAAGGAGAGGCACAAGTTGCTCAATTTAGTGCTCCACCATCCCATCCATCAGCTGAGAGCCTATGTATACCCTTGTCCAAAGCTTCTCTCTCTTGAGGTAGTCTCCAAAGCCACTTCCCTAACAATGCTTGGTTTCTTCTTTGTAAACACCCTAAGCCTAGCCCACCTTCCGCTTTACTTCTGCTAACCACTTCCCACCTAACTCTATGATCCCTTTTACCTTTCCCCGGTTCCCACAAAAAATCTCTCATCAACTTCTCAATCTTCCTGCATCTTGACAGTATGGCCGGCCAGAAATAAGAGAAAGAGAAGAGAAGAGAAGAGAAGAGAAGAAGAGAAGAGAAGAGAGGAGAGAAGAGAGAAGGGTTTTGCAATGTAACAGTGCTGGCGGCGCCAACCTTTATTTTAATATATATAGGGCGGCAGAAATAACAAGGGAAAAGACCCTTGTGCCCCTAAGTACAATAACAAACATAACAGAAAGAATAAACGAAATAAAAAAACACTTTAACTAGCCAAACAGACCCTAACATCAGCAACTAAATT